TTTCTCTCTCACAGGTGGGCCCACAGGTTGACTATAACGGCTATAATTTTGATTAAAATCCCACAAAAATTGCTCCCAAACACGCTCTAATTGTTTTACGTGGAGAACTAAGGGTCCGTTTGATTGTAAAAGTGAAAAATGGGTGGAAAGAAAATGTTTTACATGGAATTGAATTGCCTAAAATTATTTTACTGGGAATTGTAATTAATTGTGTTTGATTGGTATAATTTTCCACCTGGAAAATGTTGAAAGTTAGGTGTTCGTTTGGCTTCTTTTTCATGGAAATTGTTCACTAAAGTGATAATTATTTCTACCATTGTGTCTATAATTTGTTCCAATTGCTAAAAAAAAAAATTCAATTTTTTTTTTACCATACTGAATACTATTTGTTTGGCTTTGTTTTGTATGAAAATTTGTCAATAAAAGTGAAATTTTTTTTTACCATTGTGTCTAGAATTTTTTCTAATTGTCAAAAAAAAAAAAATGGAAAACTAATTCTTACCAAAATGATGGGAAATTGTTTTTCAGAAAATAAAAGAAATTGTAAACATGTGAGGTNAAAAAAAAAAAAAAAGTTGGAAAACAAAACACTAACCAAACCAAAAGAAAACCAATTCAAGGAGTTCAAGGAAAATGAGGCGCGTGAGTTACTGTTTGGAAAACAAATTCCAGGCAACAATTTTGCAATCAAACATGTCAAAACCATGGAAAGTTTTCCATTTTCCATGAAAAATGTGTGTAATCAAACACAACATAACTAATTTATCATTTTGTCGTTTTTATACCATTATTTCGAAAGTTTTTAATATTGTTGAATATGAAATTCGATATTTTATGTCAATATTTTAACTGACATGTGTCCGTTTATCTCTCAATTAAATTAAACAATGATCAAGAGTACACCACAATAAAGTTAATTGTCCCAATAGTCACTGAACTTATGTCTTTGTTTTCGATTGTTCACTAAAATTTAAGATGTCGAGTTTTGGCTACTAAATTTATCCAAACGTTGAACGTTATTCGCTAGTATAACAATCGTTCCAAATCTTTAACAGAATTAATGACGTGGCAACGGAATACTCATGTGGCGCTCATCACATTGTTAACAAATTACCAAGTCTTCAATTGTTCATTAAATTTGAATTTTTGATGAAAATATGATAAAATTCTACATAAATATATTAAAATTAATTTTAACTATTATGTAATTGAGTAATAATTTTTTATGGGATCGACAACCTGACTCATTTATCCACTTTATTACTTTTACGTGATCTATGCGTTTGTGCTGTGAACAATATGTCATCGTCATTTTTATAAGTTTAATGGCCAAAATTCGACCGCATCAAAGTTTAGTGAGCAATCGAAATTGATTTTTAGAATTTAGTGAGCAATCAAAGACGTTTTTCAAAGTTTAGTGAGCAATTGAAGACGTAGCAATTTATTAACGGCATGAAAAGGCGCCACATGTGTATTTCGTTAGTCACATCACTAATTTCATTAAAAGGTTTGAAACAAATGTTTGCTAGTCAGTAATGTTCAATGTTTGGATAAAGTTAAATAAAAAATGACATTTTAAATTTCAATGAACAATTGAATGCATCTCCATTGTGGATGAATAACATTTCTCATCGAAGACACGTACATAAATTCAATAAGCATCGGGACAATTAACTACGCCATAATACTAGAAATTTTTTCCCCGAGAAAAGCATGAGCATGCCAACGGCAGTAGGGATTGGCGCGCAGGGGCAGTTAAAATGATTTTGCGTACAAAACAACCGTGTGTTCTGTGACAGCCATGAAATATCGCAGAAAATGGTCATTTCTCAATTCTCCTCCATTTTCGCTTCCGTTTTAACCCCCCTCTAAAATACCCATCATTCCCTTTTCATATTCACAAATTTTCTACTTTTTCTTTCAGATAGGTGTGATCGTTTTTTACAAAATTGGATTTTTTGTTGTACAAAATGGGATTTCCTGATCGCGTTGTCCAAAATTGGATTTTGTAGGGAAAGTATAAATGGGATCAATTGAACAAATTCCATAGGTGTGAGATTTGGATCAGATGCAACAAGGAAAGATGTACTTTGCCAGCCTTGATGATTCGCCTATGTTTCGGCAACAGGTGATATTTTGTATGGATCATTGAATATAGAGATTAACATCTATTTTTAGATTTATAACACGAAAATGTTGGGTACATTTTTAGTAGTTCTGCTGATGATCTTTTTACTTGAGCAGGAAAATTTAGAGGAAAAAAAGGGGGACAAGATAAGCTTGTAAAAAATTTAGCCTAAGTAGTACTGACAAAGAAAATATCAAAAAATAGTTGATAATGAGCAATAAAGTTTGATGTTATACTTGTAAGGAGTGGCATGAAACATGTTATGGCCTATGAGTGATTGAAAGGGTGAAGAAGCTTTTGCCAGTATATGAATACTGTGAGCAGATAGAACAGTGGCAGGAACATATGGAAATCATTTAATCATTATTTTGTGTGAAAATTTAGTGTACCGCATTGAGGTATCAAATATACTTTTGGCAAGAAGATTTATTATCTTGTGAAAATTCAACTGTTATTTTGATTTCATTCTGCCTTTAGCAATATTAAGCTTCGAGAAAACTTTATGGAAAACCCTATTCAGTAATTATTTAACATAATTTTAAAAAAGATAAAAGAGCTCCCTTGTATCATATGGTCCGAGCATGTCAATGCACGCCAGTGGAAAGAATAATGTGGCGGGTTCGGTTAAGCCTAAGGAAAAAAATAAAAGTACTTACAACTTAAATGTAACTTAAGCAATTTTTGTTTCTAACATGTTTTCTTGAAAAACTTAAACTCTTAGTTCTAAACTTACTTTTGGAAATGCAAGTCCGTTTACTTTTTTCTTAGGGCAGCCAAACCTGGTCTATTTTACCATTTCTGTGCGAACAATGAGACAGAGATACATGAGCATGACAATATTTATATGTCACGAGTCTCCAGACGTGATAATGTTTTGAGGCGTGCGTGATAAAAATGCAGTGCTGTGATTTCTTAGTGTACTCAATTGCATTTTATGAGCTACATTGTCAACGAAGAGAACCATCAACTATATTTATTACATAATATATATTGTTGTCTGCATCTTTACATGGCCATTTCTTATGTCTGAATTTGACATCTCGAAAACATTTAAAATTTTTCAAGTATTGGACATATCTTATTTGGCAAAGCAGCTCCAGTGTTTGGAAGAAAGTGCTGAGACATTAAGAGATAGGAGTCTGAAGTTCCATAAAGGATGTCGAAAGTACACGTAAGTCCGAATCTGCATACTTTTCTCATTGGATTGCTTATACATAGTATTGTTCCATTATTATTCTTCTTTAGTCATGACTCAAATTAGATATTAAAGTTTTAGTTTAAAATTCTTAAAAGCATCAATTCTTGGTTTATATGTGCACGAGTGTCTGTATGTGCATTAATGTCTGTATGTGTAAAGCATCTTATCTTCTATTGCGTCTATGATCTTTTATGGTCATGAGAACTTTTATACTTGGCGCTGAGTACTCTACAAATGATTGAATTATTGACCATTTGTTTAAGTAACGAGGACCTCTATTGCATGCATAATCATATTTTTTTTAGTAGTCAGGCAATCGTAATGATTAAGCTGTTAACAGAGAATTTGAGCACCTTTTGACCTCAAAGATTGATAACCGAGTGAAGGACTACCAGGTCTTAAAACAGCATGCCCTTTAGTGCATTGGTGAAATCTTTAACGTACTTGGGTGTAAGTTCAACTTGGATTTTGTCATATCTGCCTCCTTGAAATTTCAGTGGCTACATTCATGGCCTACAGTCTATGTTTGGCATTAGGATATAAATAGTTTTTGATATGGGACTTCATGAATTATTAACATAAAAGTAAATATTTTCTTGCAAATAAAGTGAATTGCTGGATTATGTGTACATAAAAACCATTTTAATTGTAGCCCTTATGCAACAGAAACGTCAACATCTTTTAAAATCACTAGAGACGCGATGAAAACATTAAAAAGATGTATAATTGCACCTGTTGTTTCTTCATCGGTTTATTCTAATTTCTTCTTCTTTCTTTTGTTTTCTTGCTCCTTATTTTCATTTGAAGGGAGGTGGAGATGAGTATGACACTGAGCTAATTATCCTTAAATTTTTCCATATATGAAACCTCGGAAATTTAGTGAGGCTCATTCTTTTCTAATTGTATGCCTTCATTGACGTCTCTTTTTAATGTTAATATAGCTTTTCAGTTCCTTTTCATCAATGGAAGATGAATGCAGTATCAGCTATCTAATATAATGTGTTGGCCATTTCTTTAATTTGCTGAAATTTACATCTGATTTCAAGAGTGAGCAATAATGTCAAGAACATTTCTCTATTTTGATATTATTGAAATTCCAAGTGGTTTTCTTTACAACTGTATGGTAATCTAGGATTACTATCATGTCATCACAACACTACCACTTTGTTATTTACAGAGACGGGCTTGGAGAAGCATATGATAGGGACATTTCTTTTGCAAATTCCCTTGAAACTTTTTCAGGGGGGCATAATGATCCAATTTCTGTGGCATTTGGAGGTATTCATGTTTGATTATCCTAATCAAATTCTTTCCATGAGAATAGGCATAATTTTAATAAATAAAAAATTAATGTGGCATCGGCATCGGCATTGTAATTTTCTCTAAAGTTGTAAAGCCTTGAGAATGTTCACAGGTACTTTGGTAAATTTAAATTATTTTTTCTCAAAAAATGGGATAGAAAGAAAAAATCATGTGACCCTAAGCATTATCCTCAAGTTATGTAGCATCTGGTATAGACAACTGTTTTCTAATGTTCATTACATATGGTAAAACCTATTTATGCAAGTTTTCAGTTTTTCAAGTCTTTGCGAGTAATGATTTCTAATGGGATTTTCCTATTAAATTCATTTCTCTTTATGTGCACACTAACTGTCTATCACTCAGTCTAATATCCAAGACTCCAAGTTCGAGGTAACAATTGGCTTAGAGGAAAACTTTAAAATAGTGAAGTTTCATTTGCTTCCTCAACCTCCTTGCGTTTTGGTTACATTATTTATTTTCTTTTGACATTCCTTTAGTAAAACTTTCTCAACAGATATTACTTTCTTTCTGCAATAAGTTTGGCACTGTTTTATAGTTTGATACATACATGGAGTCACTAAACATGGTTTAATCATGCTGGTTTGCCGAGATGATCTTACAGTACTTCAATTATAAGAAGCTCTTTTCCTGGACGTCAGGTTAGAAACTTAATTGTCAACGTGAGATTTCTGCAACAAAATAATCTTATCTATTATTTAGGGAGCAATATATTCAATTTTGAAAAGAGCTGTGAAAGTCCTTCTGCCAATTAATATAAAATATCTTTGAGAAAAATATGGTTAGACTGAGAAAAAGTGGAACATTTGGAGCTGCTATTGATGGTATCTCATGGAGGATATTATTTCAGATAGATGGTATTTATTTCTTCAATTTCAGTTATATAATATGGGCTTGAAACTGGCGACAGTAGATCAATTTTTGTATGGAGTAAGGGAAGTCTTAGGAAAATATACATTTTGAGGAGAACTGAAAAGAACTCAATTAGTTGCAGATCCGTACGACCTTACAGTATGAAGATGGGTCCCAGTAGGCACATTTAAAACTGGAAGCAAAAGTGTGTCACTTGCGTTTAACTTACATTGCATTTTTACTAATTTTCTCTTGCCTCACTTTCAATTGTAAGTAAAATCAGTGTGATTCTCAATCATGGAGCTGATTAATCCTTTACTTTTAGGCCCTGATATGGCAAAATGTGCAATTGCTTTGAGGGAGATTGGAACTTACAAGGAAATTCTTCGATCACAGGTAGAAACTTTCTTGCTGTTGTCATAGTAGCTCCATTAGTCGTTTTTTGTGATAACATACAATTGCTCGACAAGCGTGGTTAAATTTATTGTTTCACTGAATTGCATATTTAGGACATATCTGATCGTTGGTGCATAGTTAAAAATATGTAGCAAGCACAATATTTAAAATCAGGCTTTGAAGGAGTGAGATGAATATATATTTTTTCTGGGTAAGTGTCGCCAATATTTTCTGTGCTTTCTTTCGGCTGTATACCTAAAGCAATAAAAGACTCCTCAAGGAAATCCTTTTTGATTATGCTTCTTTGTGTTCAAATTTTAGCTTTATAAAACGACAAAGAAATCTCATGTGAGTACTCTGGACCGGGATGCCATTATCTGCATTATATTTTCCTTACCCATGCCTTGTGAGCATAAATCCTACAATACATTCTGCCATTTTCTTCAATGTTCTTCTGCCTTCAATCTATTGTTGGACCACACACATTCTGTTATCATCTCCTTTTTAAACTTTCTACATGACTGCTGACATTCTTCACTTGTATGTCTTAGGTGGAGCATGCACTGAATGATAAATTATTACAATTTGCCAATGTTGATCTTCAAGATGTCAAGGTACTTATTTGCATTTCTATTTGTTAGGAACTGATCGAAGTTATACGGCATGATATGAAGTATTGATCACAACAAAAATAATACAAGAAACAAGAATTTAATTTGACAGAGGAATTGGAGATTTTATTCACTAATAGTGGAGAGAGAAATTACAACATTCTTGTGTTCCTACATAATTCTAACTTTTAGTAATGAATTAACTTGTAAAGAAGAGTATACTATTTGTAGGGATATATGTCAAACCCTAATAATAATCCTAAAGATGAAAACTAGGCTAAAAAACACGTGGCATAAACAACTCAAGGAAAACCTGGATGACAGCGACGCTCGAGTGTCTGCGCGCGCCAGTCGAGTGGTAGGTATTCACTATAAAAGTGCAAACTGCAAGTGCACGAGTCGCGTTCAAGTAACAAAATGGACTTTTTGAGTTCGAGTTATCAATCTCTCGAGAAATGTTTACTTTCCACTACACTATAATTAATTTAATTCTAATAGTAAAAACAAATACACAATAAGATTTTGATTTTAAAATAAGGAAAAATAACTAAAACTCTACAAAATAAGAAAACATACACTTGAAAATTTTGGAGGAAAATGTGATTGAGATTCATGGTTTCGCTTAACCGTCAATTAATTTTCCACAAGCAAATTAACAAATTACTCATTTACGATATTAGATTCGATTTTCTAACTTTAGTTAATTACCCATCTCAAGCGAAATTAACCCTACTAAACCTCTATATCGATTAAAACTAAACAATCACATTAAAACTTTGTGAAAATAGCTTAATAGGTCATCTAGGGTTAAGGGTATATTTATATTCCCTACAAGAATATAGGGTTTCTACTATTTGGTCTAAAAGACACAATCTTTTCTCGAACGATATACAAATTACTAAACATAATCATTCATTGGCCACATAAATGAAAATGCAAGAAATATAATAGTAGATATACATGGAAATACACATTTTAGCATTAAAAAGCAAATAGTGAAATTAATTAAAGCTAGGTTAAGCAACTATTATAAATTCCAATACAAGAAATTAGCCCATATTGTATATATGATAATAAAGGATAATATTTATCCAATACATCACAAATGATAGAAAATAATAAAGAAAGTGCAAGATTAAAGATAAAAACCCTTTTTGGTTGGATTTTTTGAAGATGATAATGGCTTGGATCTTGAGTTCCCCAATTCTTCCCTACATTTTCTTTGATTTATTCTCCTTTTTGTGCTCTAATTGTTCCCTCTGATGCTCGGATTTTTTAAAATAGTTGAATACTCCGTGTCAGACACAACAAGAGTATGAGCATGGGATATGTGTTCGATCCTCCAAGTTTCAATCGGACACTTCGTCATTTCTTCTTCTTTCTTCTTTCTTCTTTTCTTTTCCTTTTCTTTCCCTTTTCTTCTTTTCCCTTTTTTCTCTATAAACCTAACGTCGTCCTTGAGAGGATGGAGAAAGGTGGTGGCGCTAGGTTTTCTCTTTTTCTTCTTTATTTTTTCTTAACATTTTCTTCTTTTTTCCTTCTTTCTCTCTTTATATCGGTGGTTTAGGGTTTTGTTTGTATAAAATGAAAATGAGTTCCATATAATGCTACTTAGTGCTCTAGTAAGTCCAAATTGCAATCAAGTCCCTCATTTTCTATTTTATATAACATTTAGCTCCCTGTTTGGCACCCATTTTCATTTTCATTCTCATTCTCTTTTTTCATTTCAACCACACAATCTCCAAATAATATAATATTACACACAAATCTAAAACTTTTCATCACTTTTCCACCACACATTCTTCCATCAATCACTATTCCAAAAACTTTCAACCCATTAAAATGGGTGTTAAACACTCCCTTAGTAATTTCCATAATTGAAAACTAAACCCCAAAATTTTATTTTATTCGTGTTAACCCCTTATTCAATATTCATTTCGTTCTTAGTGAATAATTGATTTTGGTCTATTCAAAATGATATCTTGGATTAGTAAAAAAATTGAAATTTGAAAAACATACTCATGTACCTTGTCCAAAATTTGGATTCTTTTTATCCCGTCCCCATATCCTAAATTTTAGAAAATAAAAGATCGGACAATTAGATACGTACCTGTACTCAAATCCAAGCATCATAGATTATTCCCCAAATTACCAAGAAAATGTAAAGGAGAAGAAAAGAAAATCAAAGCAAAAAAAAAAAAACAAAAAGAAAAATAAAAAGAAAAAAGAAGGGAAAACAAAACAGAATAATGCCAGTGGCTGCACGTCTTTAAAAACTTAGAATATTTGTTTAAAAATTGCAACCCAAGTCCTCAAGTTTTGGAAACATATTTAAAATGGACCTTGGGTCTTTAAAGTGGCGCCAAACAATTGGTTTCATTTTGCAGCCAAGTCCCTCAACTTTGATCTTATACAAATTGGTTCTTAGATTTTGACTTTCATACCCATCATGCCCTTCATAATTTGCACCCAAGGTCCCTCAACTTTTGGGACTCATGCACTATGGTCCCAACTTCACAATTGTGCACACTTTTAGTCCCTTTTTTTTCCCTCCTTTTGCCTTGTTTCCATTTCCCTGGATGATTTTGACCTACAAAAGCAATTCTTATCTAATTGTATTTCGCTCGTTTAATCAATATTTAAGCTTATTTAGGTATTAAATAAAGTACAAAAACACACTTATTAGTGGGTAAGTGGCAAGTCCTTTGCTGAAAATTTCGTATCACCACTCGAGCATCCAACTAGCAGTAGGCTAGCACTGTCAATCCCTTTTTCCTCCATAGACCCTATTTAGACGTTTTCAAGGCCCAATACACCAAACCACACACATCCTAGATGAATCTGGGTCATAAACCCAATAATCTCCACCTTGATACAAATTCCATTGTAACGAATGAAACTCCAAAATTTTTCCACTTGGAGAAAAGTCCGTTTGCAAGGAATAAACTGAACTCTTTAATAAGAACCAAACTAACTAACAAAATATGGAATTGTCGAAATTGCTTTTCTTTCTCACATAAGTCTCATTTTGCAATTAGCCATTGTGACATAAGGGATTACAAATTCAAAATTCGTCTAGCTAAGGAAAGCTATTTACCCTATTAATCTATAACAACCGTACAAGATTTACAGCATATGATTTACAGTTTATAATTTTACAAAACTATAATATGTGGGCTGGCATATTTTGTCCTATTAACTAACTGACATCCCCCTCAAATTGATGTGGGTCGATCGACTAGCAACAATTTGCTAACCAAAAAATTGATGACATTGTCGAGTCATTGCCTTAGTAAACACATCAGCAACTTGAAGGTCCGTGGAGATGTGAGGAAGAGAGATAACACGATTGTCAAAAGCTTCCCTAATAGAAAGGAAATCCACTTCGATATGTTTGGTGCGTTCATGATAAACAAGACTAGCAGCTGTTTGAATTGGGCTAGTATTATGGGCATGAAGTGGAGTTGGATGTTGTTGAAAAAACCTAAGTTCATCCAAGAGACCAAATAATTTCACAACATGCAGTGGACATAGTTTGGTATTCTGATTCAGTGGAAGACTTCAAAACTCGATCTTGCTTTTTACATTTCCAAGGAATAAGGCATCACTAAGAAACATACACCAACCAATGGTAGAGCGACGAGTGTCAGGACATCCAGCCCAATCAGCATCACTATAGGCCGCAAGTTGAAGAGTTGAACCAGCTGAAAAGAACAAATCACGATTCTGAATATAGCGAATGATACGATGCACAGTAGCCATATGAAGATGCCTAGGAGAGGCCATAAATTGACTAACTTGATGAACAACATAAGATAAGTCAAGCCGAGTAATAGTCAGGTAAATAAGACTTCCAACATGACGACGGTAAAAAAATAGGATAAGGAAGAAGAACCCCTTCATCACGACGGAACTTTAACATTCAATTCTAAGGGAGTATTCACTGAACGAGTGTCCTAAAGACTAGCCAAAGCAATCAAATCTTGGGATATTTGTGTTGATTTACAAAGATGCTGATAGGACTAGAATGCACCTTAAGGCTCAAAAAATATGTAATTGGTCCAAGATCTTTCATATTGAAGTTTGGCAATCAAGTTGGAATCGGTTCCAGTGATGACTATATCATCCACATAAACAAACAGTAGCACAATACCTTTAGATGTGGCACACAAAAATAAGGAGTCATACTGACTTTGCAAAGTAGTTCGAAACTTGTCAAACCATGCTTGGGGAGCATGTCTTATTCCATATAAAGAATTCTTTAACTTACACATGTCCTGAGAAGAGGAGGTAGCAACCTCGGGTGGAAGCTGCATATAGATGTCCTCTTTAAGATCACCACGAGGAATGCATTTTTTACATCCATTTGTAAAGGCCAAATCTGGGAAGTTGCAATGGCAAGAACAATACGTAATGTAGTCATCTTGGCTACCGGGGCAAACGTCTCATCATAATCCACACCATACTCTTGTCTATTACTAGAGCCACCAAATCGGGCCTTCGACCCAAGGTACCATCTGAGTTGAGCTTAACAAAGTCCACCCACTTGCAGCCAATGGGTTTCATATTAGAAGGACAAGTGACAATATCCTAAGTGTCATTATCAGCAAGAGCTTGAAGCTCATCTCACATAGCCTTTTTCTAATATTCATGCTTTACAGCTTTAGCATAACAAGTAAGAATTGAAATAGAGGACAAGCGAGTAGGGGAAGATGTATTAGAAACATCAGAAATAACAAACAAATACCCATATGTGACAACCTGAATCCTTGACTATTCAAGTGAACTAAATAAAATTCGATTTTTTTCTTCATAGGGACTTAAATAGTAACAAAAAACGGTTTTACTCATTAAGTAAATAAAAAACAATTTTAACTTCAATAATTAATTGCGAAATCTTAATATTAAAGAATAATGCATTGACATAAAAGATAGCCTAAATAATGTCAAAAAAAAAAAATGTGAAACTGAAAAGTTATGTTTCAAACACAATATAATTTATT